CCCCGTGCCTCCAGACCCTGCGCCCCCGGCCGGCACTTCCCCAGCGCAGCTGGAGCCCGGGAGGGGATGCGCCCAGCCGGGGGCGCAGGGTCTGGAGGCACGGGGGCTGCCTGAAGCCGGTAGCGCTCGGGCAGCCCAGCTCTTAAACAGAGCCGAAGCGTCGGGGAGGAGCAGAGCCGCCATTTTCCCGGACATGTTCGGCTTTTTGGCAATTCCCCCCGGATGGGGGTTTGACTGCCGAAAAGCCGGACATGTCTGGGAAAAAGAGGACGTAAGGTAACCCTAGTATTGCTTGAGCTGTCCCTTCTTACAGCCGGGTGCCTCTGCTGCATGGCCTGCCCTGTTCGCAACTAACACCTGGATTTAGTGATTACAAATCAGTATCTCACGAGTAGGGGGCCCTCTGAGGAGCTGGGGAGCCCCCTCTCCACCCTGAAAACTGTCTGGGACAGTCACTGTCTATTCTAACACCTTTCTGCTATGTGTTTGGGAGCTGCCTGGCAGCCCTGAATCTGAGATCTGCGAGCCAGCCGCCGCTCTCCTGCAGAAAGTTACATCCTCGCTGCTGCAGCCATGAGGATCAGATGATGCTTCAAGTTAATCAGCTGGAACTTCTGAACTCTCCGGCTTGTCCCTGGCATTCTAGCTACCGAGCTCTTTACAGAGGGTGACCAGAGAGCAAGTGTGAAAAATTGGGACGGGGGTGGGGGGTAATAGGAGCCTATTTAAGGAAAAGACCCCAAAATCGGGACTGTCCCTATAAAATCGGGACATCTGGTCACTCTATCTTTACATTTACTGAGGCCTCCTTGGAGCTGGGCTAGGCCGGTCTGGCTGGGGAACCACAATGCTCCTCTCTGGCCTTGCACTCTATGAATGAAAACTGAAGAGTTGGATCTGTTCTTTTCAGAGTTCTTTTCTCATGCTGTAGACTTACTGACACCTAGTGGCTGCTCTAGGAACAACAACCATGTCAGGGTGACTTTAATAGAAGTTTACCATGTTGATGTTCTTTCTTTTTCGCAGAATTGGGGGAGCAGGGAGGTTGGGGGAGGCTTTATACTGTTAACGAGAAATTAAAGATTTGGGGGGGGGGTGAGGATGTAAAATTCATGTAGAATCCTTGCGCTGGTGCCAGCAGTGGGAGTTGAGAGGCGAGGCAAGGGGTCTGTGCTCTGTAAGTGGAGATGGGGCAATACGGAGGGGTGGAGGTGCTTTTGTAGAACCTCGTTGGCCAGCTCCCGTGCCAGGAGTTTGGGTGGGATCCCACATCCTGTGAACCTGAAATTGCAGGGGTGGGGCACTACCGGGATAGAGGGTTCCCACCATGTCCCAGGACTAGCAAGAAGGTTAACAAGGCCCCGTGCTACATTAAAGCTACTCCTGCTCCAGCCCCCAAGATCCCAGCTCCTGCCTGGTCTTTATCCCTTTTCTTTTTTTTAACGTGAGAAGAATGAAGGCCGGAGAGGCTCTGATTGGTGAAGTGGCTTTCTCTGGGCATATGATCTTCCTCATGTGCTCTGTAAGCCTTGCTCTTTGTGTAGAAAGAAAAAGAAATACTTAGATCTCAGTGTCAGATGCAGACAGAGGTGCTGCATGGGCAGGGCCGGCTCCAGGCACCAGCATTCCAAGCAGGTGCTTGGGGCGGCAATCTGCAAGGAGTGGCACTCCGTGTGTTTTTGCCGCCCCAAGCAGCGCGCCGAATTGCCGCCGCGGACGGCGGGGGCAGTCCATGTGTCGTTAGGGCAGCACGCGCGTTTCCACGGCGGCGGCAATTCGGCGGCAGCTTCTAGGTTCAGCTGCCCGCGGCGGCAATTCGGCGGCTTCTGTCTTCCGGCTGAAGATAGAAGTTGCTACCGAATTGCCACCGCTACGGAAACGCGCGGGCTGCCCTAACAGCACACGGACTGCCCCTGCTGTCCGTGGTGGCAATTCGGCGCGCTGCTTGGGGTGGCAAAAACAGTAGAGCTGGCCCTGTGCATGGGGCAAGGGGCACATGTGGGGGTTATGTCCGTCCCCCCCTCCAGATTTCTGCCAGGTTTTATAGGCCGTGCCCTGAACTCCGCTGCATACATTGTGTGTCACCCTCCCTCTGCTGTCACCAGTCATGACTCATCTCTGGGTGCAGGGAAGGTGAACTCTTCCCCAGGAGGGAGCAGGGCTTGTTTGGCCTGTGCACGACTGTAGAGATGTTTGAAAGGATGCGATGCAGCCCAGGCAGGAACTGAATCTGTCTTAAATTTCTCTTGGTAGCCAACTCTCCGACGCCAGACTAGAGATCGAGAGAAACTGGTGGGCGAGTGGCTCGCAGCGTATCAGCCCGCTATGCTGGTCTCTCTCTTTCTTGGGTTCCCCCATTGGAAAGTAGTTCAGGAGAGGGGGCTACATGGGCGGGGTAAGGGGGGGAGCCTGCCCCTCTAGGTTATCAGTTCTGAGCTGGGGGAGATGGACCTCATGGACTATCTCACTGCTAATCCCCTCTGAGATGGGTGGCTCTACGCTGTCCTTACGTGGCCGACATGGACTCCAAGGTTGTGTAGCTACAGGCATGATGTAGGTAGAGCTCTGTGAATTACCTGGCCCTTGACAGGGTGAACGTTCTCCCTCTGCCATGCTCCCAGGCAAGTCCCTCTCAGGTCAGCTCAGCACCAGTTTCCATTGAAGCTTTATTGCCTGCAGCAGCTTATCCCCTAGGGACTAAGCGGGGAACGCTAAACGCCTCTCATTCGGCCTCGGGGGGGGGCGGATCCTCAGCGGGTGTAAATAACCAGAGCTCCACTGACCTCACTAGTGCTCTGCCAATCTCCACCCGCTGAGGATCTGGCCCAGGTAGTCTTGTTTTCCAGGCTGTTTTTCCACTAGGCTGTTCAGTAGAGCAAGGGGACGTTTGGCCCTGTTGCTAAACGCTGCCCCCCTGGGCTCAGCTGTTCTGCAACCATACTGAGTAAAAATGTGATGACCTTTCTGCTTGCAAAAGTGTGACTGTCCTTTGCAGGGCAGCCCCTAGCTTGACTCTGAGCGCCGGAGCAATGCCGCAAAGAAATGATCCCAGGCCGAGCCGCGTCCTCGGGATGCGGAAAAGGGGGTGGAGGGAAGGGATCTTTACTTTATACACGTCTACATATGATAAAGATCAGCTGAAACTCACTGCAAATGACACCGTCAGTGTTAAACAGGCACAGCGGCGGGAAAACGCCTCTCTCACGTGCGCTCTGCAAATGCCCAGGCCAGTCCAACTGCAGCCCCCGTCCATGTGTGATGGTGGGTCTGAGTCGCAGAAATAGAGTTTCATGCGGGGAAGCTTGGCTGGGTCGGTTCCCTGCAGCTGGGTGATCCAGGCCTTGCAAGGAGCTGTGGAACAGTAATTCACAAGCCACCATGAACATCTAATTCCAGAACTCTTCCTGCTGGAGGGGGAGTTCTTGGCACTCCTTAGCCAAACACTAACCCAGAGGCACCAAGAACCTGCTCCTTCTTATCCAGGCTTTGGCCAAAGAAAGTGTCTGAAAGCCCGGCTGCCCTGGTTACACGAGTTAGGATGGAAGCCACCATGGCCAAGCTTTTTAAAGCGCCTAGTGATCTTTGGTTCTTCATTTTCAGGTATCCAGCTGGAGCCACCTTTAAAGAGGGTTTGGCTTTTCCGAGGTGGGTGCTCTGCTCTTTCAACAAACTGGGCCCCTTTAAGGGCTACCAGGCTCGGCACCCACAGGCTCTGGTCACTTCTGAAAGCCTTGGCTTGCCAGGTTTGGGAAATCACAGTACACAGAACTGCAGCTCCTCGGGCTCTGGGCTTCCTCCACTCCAGCCATGCAAGGATCACAAAGCGCTCTAGGTCCATGAATTGCTCAGTCCATGGGGCAGGCTCAGCCCAGTCACCTCACACCAGGCCTGGGAGGTAGCAGATAGAAAGTCTCTTGCTCACGTTTCAAATGTTGTGCAAAGAGATGACGGGACTTGCCCACAGTCACTCAATTCAAGTCAATAGCAGATCAGGCAGCCCAGGTCCTGCTCTAACCACTAGGCTGCGAGCACGTTGTACAGTACGGGTAGGGAGTGCTTAGCCCTGTGAGATGCGTCACACACTGGCGTGGTCCCAGGATCTCTCCTTGACAGTGCAAACGGTACAGAACACAAGGGAGGAGCTTAGTAGAGACCTCGCTCTGACAAGGGCTTCCCAGCAGTGGGGACCTCATTGATATCATGTAGAGGCCGGCGCTGCACCAGGGTGATCCAGGGGGGTGTTTTCAGCTGAGTTTCAATGCTTTACCTACTTGATTCCTCTGGGCATGATGGGTGCTGGCTGGACCTCCACCGTGTCCCCAAGATGCCCACGTGGTACGAGCTACCCCGAGCTCTGGACTCCCAACCCAAGTGCCGCTGTTGGCCCAAGGCGAGGGGAGCAAGGCTCCAGGACAGGCTAACCCTGGATTCCCCGGGCCCAGCCACGTTCTCAGGCCCAGCTAGTGTCACTGTGAGCAAAGCCCAGGGCGACCAATGTCCCCATGTGAACCACAGAACTCGGAGAGCGGGAAAGCCGGTGAGACGCTCTAGTCTCTCCACCCCAGGGCAGGCTGGGATCCCCAGAGGGAGAGGGTATCAGCCACTGAACCATCCAGCCCCTTAGCTCACAGGGACAGATCCTGGGGGTGCGGGGCGGGATACTGCAGCCACGCTGTGGGTGTTCTAGGCTGACGGTGCTGCTGGATTCTTTGCAGGGACGGAAAGGGTTGAAATGCTGGGTGTTCGCCTCCCGAGTGAGCGAGAGGCCCTGTGCTGAGGCTGATGGGAAAGGTCCTTCCGCTCTAGTTACTCTTGGGGGCATTTTTATTCCTTATCTCAGCCAGTTTGCTGACCAGGAAGCCCCACTTGAAGGCGCCCTCTTCTGGCTCCCGGAGGTCGCTGCCGTTGTTAGAATAGGTGGGCTCCTCTCCCGGGGGCTCCCCTGGCGCCCCGCTGAACTCGGCCGCTGGCTCGCTGAACTCAGGCGGGGCCGTCTTCTTGTCCAGCGCAGAGGCCTGCTGCCACTTGGTGGCAAAGACATCCCAGAACCCTGACGTCGTCTTCTCTGCAGAGGGCGACTCCGCTGGCTTCGGTGCCAGGGGGCTGGAAGCAAGAGATGGGGAGATTAGGGGGCGGGGAGCGTCTGAGCATAAAGATCCGGACACACGCAGGAGAGGAAAACCAGACACCGCACGCTGCGGGGGAGAGCGTCAAGGAGAGAAAGGGAGAGATGAGCAGCAAGAGGGAGGCGGGCAGTATTGCAACATACAGGGAAGAGACAGCGCCTGTATAGGGGAGACACAGATAGACACACAAAGAGATCCAGGGAGTGGCAGAGACAGGATGCCGAGTCCTGGTGTCTGGACAGGCTGCTCGAGCGCGTGCGAGAGAGGCTGATTCACACAGACGTAGAGTGACCAGGCAGCAAGTGTGAAAAATCGGGACAGGAGGTGGGGGGTAATAGGAGCTTATATAAGAAAAAGACCCAAAAATCGGGACCGTCCCTATAAAATCAGGACATCTGGTCACCCTACACAGACGTGACCGTAGTTTAATAAAAATCCCGGAGCCACAGGCTTCCCTTCGGCAGATGTTACTGAACCAGCCTGGTTGGGAAGGGGGTGGCTTCTCATTAAGTCACGGGGGCTACCCGAACGCCAGCCCCCGTTCCTAGGCACAGGGCCAGAACACAGGCACTAGCCCGGCTCTGGGTTTGATAGACACAGCGGAAGCCATGTGGGCACTGGGATGAACAGCTGGTTGCTGGGCTCAAGGATCACTCTGCCTACATGACTGGGGGATGCTCGGAACGGGGGGCTTTGAACTCTCCTGGCCCGGGAGGATCTGCACGTAGTGCCCCAGGGGGTGGGACAGGCAACTTCTTATTGCAAAGCTGCCGGCTCTGGGGGCTGAACTGAGGCCGCCCAGTGGGAGGCTGGAACAGTCTCCACACAGGCAAAGGAGCACATGGGAACTGGGTAACTTTTCTACGGTGTGACTGAGGTCATTTCTTCTCTCTCCTCCTACGCCGGCTCCTGGGAAATGCCTCTAGATCTAAACACTTCGCATCCAGCCCTGGAACAGATTTCCACACGGACATGACCAGGACAAGACAGCAGCAGGGTGTGGGTCTCTTGCCTTCAGCCTTCACCTGCGGCCATCTGAGTGGCCCGTGCATCATGTCCCCTGGCTAGTAGAAGCAGGGGTGGGAAGATAGCCGAGGGGGCTGTTGTAGGACACAGTTTCGGGTTCACACTCAGCCATGGGGTAAGCAGGTGTAGCTCTCACTGATATCAATGGGACCGGGGTCCATGGACAGCAGGGATGACTTTAGTCCTAAGCCCTCACTGGAATCCCGGGCAATGACAACAGGGTCACTGTGATCCTGGACTTGAGAGGACCCCTTGGCTGGCTGAGTGCTCAGGTGTCACAGGGCCGTACACGCATCCTTGCTCTGGGGGGGCAAAACCCAGACACGCTTGTACCTTGCTGCCTGCAGTCTCACCCCAAAGCCACCCCTCGTCCTGGTCCTCAGGCCTGTGGCAGACCCTCAGCCCTACCATAAGCTGGGCCCTGCCTAGCTGGGTACTGCCTAGAAGGATGGGAGCCCGATGGAGACGCTACGACCTAGACGCGATGGTCAGTCTTACTGGTCAGCGCAGGGCTCGGGGGTCAGCAGCTTGTGCTCATCCTCCCTATTGAACAGAGACGACATGCTCCTCCAGCCTCTGGCGCCAGCCCCCTGGACCTGCAGAGCAGAGGGAGGGAAACCACTGGTCAGTGACGCTGCCCAGGTCCAGGCAGGAGTGGAGCTAGTGTGGTTTGGCCGAGCTCACGTGGGCCCCTGGGAACGTCAACGGGCCCCAGAGCTTTGCTCTATGCGACTGACGCAGCAGGAATGTATTTCCTCTGCCTTCTCCTCCCCCACACACGGACTAGCCTCACGGACACACCCCACAAAGCATCACTGTCCTCTGTCACCCTCAGCATTCTCTCCCCCTCCCCCAAAAGGGCAGTGCCTGTCTCCACTCCAGCCCCTCGTCCCAGGTTAGGCAGGGGACGGACAGCAGATTCAGAAGGGGGTCTCTGCCCCGCTCAGCCCTTGCATGCCCACTGCCCCCTTGTTTTCCATGCCCCCCTCTGAGTGACTTCACTGGCCGTTGTGCGGGTGAGGAACAGCCGGCAGAGACCCCGGGAGCCCACAGGCGAGGGGGCGTTTGCCCTTCGTCTTTGCTAGGCTGGGTGTAGGCTCTTTGGGGCAGGAACCAGCCTTCTGGTCTGTTTGTACAGCACCTGGCGCCATGGGGCCCGGGTCCAGGACTGGGCCATCTTGGTACTATAAGGACAGCACAGACATTATGACGGCACATGACCGGGTTCCACACTCACACTGCCTGTCCCCCACGAGACCCAACCACCCCCTCCACCTGTTTATGGGCATCTGCCACCCACTGCAGCAAGAAGGCCTCCCACGGGGAGTTCTGCCATCAGGGTGGCAAAGGGGCGAAGGTTTGACCAGCTCGAGCCGGGCTGGCTGGAGACTGATCAGAGCCAATGCGGCTGGGCCAGGGAGGGAATGGCTGACGCTGGAGGGAAGATAGGGTAACGGGTGCCTGGATACAGCTGGGCACCCGGAGCCACAACACAGCACCTAATTTCTAGAGTGCTCGGTGCTCTCCGAGCACCTGAGGCTCTGATCTGACAACAGACTGGGTGGAAGCAGCCCCCAAGCCTGGCAGTGATCAGGGCCTCCAGCAGCCAGGCACAATGCCCCTGAGGGGGATCTGGGCACTCAAGTGACTTTTTTCCCCACTTGTGGTTGTAGATCTGCTGTCCCTTTCTATTATCTGCGACCTCTTCGCCTTAGGCCGGGCTCTGCACTAGCACTGGTGCTTCGCTGTCTACCTTTGGAGGGGGTCTGTTTCTTTAAGGACACGTGTAAGAAAGACCAGGCTACGGTCAAATCAAACGCATCTGTCTCTGCTAATTCACATTCATTAAAGAAACCTGCGGCCGGGGGAGCCCTGGTATTAGGGCCAGAGAGCTTGAGGCCTCCTTATAATAGCCTGGTTTGATTCCCCTGCTCTCCTGCAATACGTTATTGTGTGCTTAATCCCGCATCCGGCTTTCCCCTCGGAGCCCTGCCCTCTCGTCCGGGCTACAGCTCCGCTGCCTTCTTCCCAGCACGGAGCTCTCCGCTGTAACATCCTAGCCGAGATGGGGCCCAGGCTGTGGTGAGGTGAGGGCCACCCGAGAGCCCGCACGCCCAGGGTTTGGCCTCGCTCATTCCACTACAGGAGGACCCACCTGCCCCTTGTCGGCGGTGAAGACAAAGCCCCTGTTACATGCTGCAGCAAGGCAAACCGTGCTGCAGTGCTGGGATGCCACAGATGCAGTAGGGTTGCCGGCCCTCCAGGACTGGCCGGGAGTCTCCCAGAATTGGCATCCATCTCCCGGTGACTATTGAAAGCCATCCAGGAGATTTTAATGGGCTATTTTAAGAAAATGACATTACATCACGTTGGTGGGGGAGAAAAATCTCCCGGAATAGCTTCAGTCAGAGTTGGCAACCCTACGATGCGGTGGCACCGAGGGGGTGACAGAAAGCCAGGCAAATCTCCAGGGCAGATTGGAACCTACAGAGACTCCTGAAAACAATCCCAGTGAGCAGAGAAGCCCCAGGCTGGTTCTGCTGGGGGGGGGGGTGACTGGGGCCAGAGGCCTGATGCTAAGAGAGAACTGGTCGCTCTGGGAGGCAGGTGGAGCGCCTAAGAGGGGAGACCTTACCCTTCGTGCCAGCTGGGAGATGGGGTTCGATCCCTCCTCCATCAGAACTGGGGCATCTGTGGTTTCCACCAGCTCAGGGTTATCCCCCTGAAACAGACTCACAGCATCAGCCATGGGGCAGCAGCGCATGTTGAGGAGGGCAGCGTGAACAGCTGCAGGGGTAGCACCAGGAAAAACTGGCTGGCTCTGTCCCTGGATGAGTGGAGTTAGCAGCAGGATTTCTCACCCCCTAGACTCCCCTCCCACCAGTCATTTTTTTTCTCCTCCTCCGCTAGCTGCTGCCTTTGGACTCGGTCTGGTCCATGCACTAACTATTCCCCGTGCAAGGCGCTTCCACCAGAATTCCTCAGTCGTTTGGCCCTGGTCCTAGCAGAGTGTTTGACCCAGGCTCGGTGTTGTGGCATCTCCTGTCTATTCCCTACTGAACAGAAGCTCCCTTCTGCAGCTCACTTTCTCCAAAGAATCAGGCCAAACCCTCAAACCAGGGCAGGATTAAAGAATTCGGGGGCCCTGTGCACAATGGAAACGGGGTCTCCCCACCTGCCTTCACCTAGACAGTTCAGTTAGTTAGAGACTAGCTGTGGGCAAAACCAGGCAGCTGCCTAGGGCTGCAGGTTCTGTCCGCGGGGGGGGGCTGGGCCAAACCTGAGTGGGTGGCGCTCGATCCTTCCCCACTTCTACCATAACCAATTTATTTTCCAGTGGTTGGGGGGGCCTCCCTGAGATGGGGGCCTTGTGCAAGTGCACTGAGTTCACATTGGCTAATCCGGGCCTGCCCTATGTGACTAGATGGGAGCGGAGAGTCTTGTGTTATCACCTGACTCTGGGAGCTGGGGCTTTAAGGAAAACATCAAAAATCATGCCATTTGGCCACACTGAAGATAAAGTGACCAGCTGAAGTCTCTCCATGCTAAAAGAATCGTCTCTGCTCCGAGCTCAGCGACCCCTAGAAATGGGTTTCCCTCATTTCACAGCTGTATAGCACCCACCAGTTCTGGAGTTGTACCCACCCCTCCACCCCTACTGGTCCTTCTCCCTGCTCTGTAACAAGCAGTGCTGACTTCACAGGGCCAGGGCTGGGTTTGGATTTCTCTGCGCTGAAGGGCACAAACCCCATCGCTTTTGCCCCACCCCGAGACTCTCCAAATTGCTCGGATCTGATTTTTCTTTTTAATTGAATGATTCGTCAGTGCCCAGAACGCAGATCTGCCAAAAACCGGGGTAGGGCGGGCAAGCCAAGCAGAGCGTCTGAAGTGGCTGGCGGCTCACGGGGCACAAACGCCGGGCGCCAGAGAGTGACTGGCTGCCACAGGCTGCAGCAGCAGAGAGAGGAACAGCACAAGGAGAAGCAGCAGCAGGGAGCGTGGTGGCTGCTGCACTGGCTGTGACCACACCAATAGGGGCCCCAACGGCAGTTGTCCTGCCAGAGACTAGACGTGGCGGCAGCAGCAGCCGTGCTGTGCACTGGGACTCTCTGAGTCTGGGAATCGATGAATAAACCCCAACGTGGCTTGGGAGAGGCTGGTGCCAAAGGGATTGAGGGTGTGGAGCTGGGGGCTGGGCCGGGATCCCAGGGTACCAGGAGCGGGCGGAACTGGGGGAAGTGC